ATGTGGACACTATCATACACTCCTCTTCCTCACCTCCAGTGTCTCCTTGGTTGTAAGATTACCACTTGAACACATCATTTCCCTAAAGTTTTTCAGAGGCCAGGCACGGCGGCTCACACCTGTAATACTACCACTTTGGAAGTACTGCATGAGGTCAGGAGGTTGAGACCAGCCTGAGTAAAAGCAAGACCCTGTCTCTACTAAAAATAGAAAAATTGCACGGCACCTGTGGCTCAAAGGAGTAGGGTGCCGGCCCTATATGCTAAAGGTGGCAGGTTCAAACCTAGCCCTGACCAAAAACTAAAAAAAAAAAAAAAGGAAATCCAAATTCTAGCTCCACTCAAGCTACTTAGTACTACACCTATGGTATCATATGAAACTCTGTGGATGATGTAACTTGGTGAGAGCAGGAGTTCTTAACTGTGTTTAGAGATATAGACTCAAGTCTCACAGAAGCTATGGATGCTCACCATGTATTCCCTCACACATGTATACCACACTGGAGGCCTAGAGTCCCCAGGTTCTAGTCCAGAGTCTCTCTAAGTGAGGGAGAGGTAAAGGTGGGGAGAGGGCACCTACCATAGGCTTCCTCGATGAGGCCACAATAGGGATTAACTCCTGAGCCACTGCGCTTGCCTTCTTGCTCTCCAAGCCGCAGGATGTTTTCCAGTCCGTTGAGGGCCACTTGCACAATCTTTGAATCCATGACAGTCAGCAAATCACACAGGGGTTTGATGCAGCCCAGTGAGACCAGGTACCTGAGGGCCAGAGACCAAGCAAGTTCTAAACTAATGCAGGGGAAGTGAAGTGCTGGGCAGGTGCGTTGGCTGGTGTCTCCCTCATACATGTCGATATTTCAGCAATCCACTGTACTACATCTTTTCTTTTTTTTGAGACAGAATCTCACTGTCACCCTGGGTGGAGTGTCAGGGCATCATCATAGCTCTCAGAAACCTCAAATTCTTGGGCTCAAGCAATCCTCTTGCCCCAGCTTCCCAAGTAGCGGGGCCACTAATGCCCAGCTAATTTTTCTAGTTTTAGTAGAGATGAAGTCTTGCTCTTGCTTAGGCTGGTACTGAACTCTTGAGCTCAAGCAATCCATCTGCCTTGGCCTCCCAGGCGTAAGCCACTGTGCCTGGCCCACTCTATTGAGTCTTGATGACTGCTGTTCTCTGTCTCTTTTTCTCCACCTTCCCATTACTATAGTTCATTTTA